TAATGTATTTAAACCAAGACTAATGATCATCAGATGAAATTGCTTATCACAATGTACATTACTGGGAACGAGTTATTTTTGTTCTTTAAAATAACCCCACAGATGATTTAATTAACATTGAACTAGTACAAGATTTTGTGTGATGGAACATATATGTTTGTGAGTGTTTTTAAAGATTTACTATCTTCATAATGATAAGCCTATCGTACATTCAATAGATCTAAATTCTGATCTGATTACAAACAAAAAGTATATTGTAACATACCCATAAACGAGTTCCATTGTAGTGGCATACCTTCGTTAACCAGTTACCTTGATAACCGTAATTATATAAATCTCAACGGTGTTTGAAATCAAAAGGTGATGAGAAGAGGCAACTAAAATTTATTAGCGGATAAGCGAAGATCATAAAGCCATAAGCACATCTGAAGCAGAGAGGCGAATATGTATACACGAGAAATTACATAGGCAAATTTATAGTCGAATCGCATAAGGCCACAGTAAGGCAATCCAAAGGTAATAAAAGGCTTTGAGTACATACATACATGGGGAGGAGGATAAATCATAGGGTGGTATTTAAGCAATCAACATTTTAGCTAAAGTCTGTCATGTGATCATAATGGTACAAAGAGATATGCAAATTGTTACTGTTCGAACAACATTGTCTGTTAAGTAGGTTAATAAAAGGGCTTAACCAAAATTCAATATAATCGAAATTGATTGTAGATGGTTGCTATCCCATGAAAAGAGGAATTTTTATAATCGATGACTTTCCATTATCTTGACGCTTACAATAGTGAAACTTAGTAACACATCACATTAGATTCAGATGGAAAATGAACTCATCTGAAGGATAACCAGACAATAAAACAATACGACGCTTGGTAGCATATTAATATACAGTTTGAATAGACACTATATTTGGTCAGCCTTTCTTAAAAGCAGTTGATGAACAATTTCAGAGTTAGGTCAACTTTAATTTCTCAGTAAATTACAGGAAATCGTTGCACATTTAATAGGTGTCAACTTTGTTTTGAACATTCTAAGTGAACAAGACAGCTGTCAAGATCAGAGTAATGCATTTTCAGTGAAATGGAATGAATTACAATAATATTAAGACAAGATAATCAGAAAGATGCCAATATGTTACGTAATATAGACTCTAAGTAATTCCTCTCTGTTTAATTATTCATCTGTGGTGACAGTGAACATTAGATCTGCTTTGATATGAAATAATACATTACTGTAGTAATTTCTCTTACCTATCACTCCATAGACCTATTATGAGCATTACTTGCTCTTAAACTAACTTTTACGAATAATAACATTCCCTTAAACCGTTGCGAGTTTCGTTGAAGTCGTTCATACATACACTGACTTTATCACATTGATTATATCACAACAACGAAGAGTGTGGATTTCAATTGACTATTTATTCACTCTTAAACTCTTCTAAAACATTTAATATCTCAACTTTGAGTTGAAGCTTACTGAATGATTGATTAGAATCATTTTTCTGAATCATAAAAAACATATATAAGGTAAGTAATATGTACAATAAGTAGTCAACATTACCATCCTACTACATTGGCTATTGATGGGAAGATATTTGGTGTGGAAATTTCGAAATCAACATGTAACATATGATAACCACGCCTTAAACAAGCGAATAAACCTATTATTGTATAAACTTGTATTCCGACGTGTATATATTTACTTAAAGTTGGATCTCATGATATTATCCCGAACACTCATTAAACCATTCAATCCATAGAGAATAACACTATCAAATGTAACCAGAGAATAAGTAAATGCTTTTTTTAATATTTCAAAATTTGTGTGCATTTTCATTCATATGTTCAGCGTTATTAATGTTTATAATCCAATATATTATCAAGAATTTATTCTTTTCCATTTACCCTCTTCCGTATTTTTAATGCTAAATAACTTTTTGGTTGACATATTCTTATGACATCAATCACCTTACCATTTGATGTCACGGATATATTCGGTTTCCGTGCATTACCATGAATTTCATCGTTATTATTCATACTTCTTATGCAGAATGCATCAGTTATTGTTTAACAATGATGGAGTCAGAGGCATAAATTACGACAAGTAACTATTACGTTGATCACTACTCAGTGATCAATCAAGTTTACACTGTATTTCATTGCACTAAAAATATGTAATTCTATCTGTTGACATCACAGGTATTTGTTTGTTTTTTGATAAATATATTGGCAAACACTTGTTGATTGTTGAGGCAGTTTAAATTAGACTCTGCATTGTATGTTAAAATTTACTTTGCAAAACGGAAATAAATTTCTGCACCTAACTCATTACTTTGTTTCAAGCTAACCAAAAATTTTACTCGCTAAACAAATCAGTTTTAACAAAAGACATATGTAAATAAAAAATAATATATTTGTAATATCCCAATGAGTAGAAAAATTAGATTTTCTGACGTTTCGTGACTTAGTGTAAGTCACTTCTTCAGAGAATAAATAACCAAATTAAAATTAATCCAAGTTTAAATAGTACAACGGAACAATAAAAAGACGTATGTGATTAACATGAACATATAAACGTCTCGTAGAGTTCGAAAAACTGTAGGTATGATTTTCGTTACAGTCTAACATCCTCTATGTTTGAAGAGATTACGAGTTCACTTAGTCTGAGAATGGAATGAAGACTCTGTGACACAATGACTAATAAGCCAGATATTCCAACGCATCCCAGCCCCGCTAACTAGAAAGTTCAGTTCATAGAAACACCTATTTATAAATAATATCATAATAAATTTTATATGAAAGTGAATTTTAGTTCAGTAAAAATCATTTTGGCTTTCAAAAAATTTTTTTTATTCTTTTCAGAGTAATGTAGACTTTAATTTAAGCAACTTTTAAAACCACTGTGAATATGATATGATTGATACTAAATATGTGTTATAAGCAAAGATTACTTCTAGCCCAAGAGTGAACATAAAATCTGAGATACAGGTACATTTAGCTGACGAGTCCCAAATAGAACAAAACGCTCGTCCTGGATTCCACTGATAGTCACTATAGAGGTTTGCTTACAAAGCTTGTTACTTCAGGCAATATTCAGGCAATCCTCACAGGATAAACATATGCCAATAAGAGACTGATCAATTACAGTCCCAAATAACAATCGGAAGATACAAGTAAACAACACCAAGTGAATAAATATGTGTTATCCTATAAAGTGAAGTTTTGAACAGTAAATGTCTCAATGTTCTGAAAATCATTTTGAACAATGGAACTTCACGAAGAGATCAAATTAGACCATTGTAAATCAAATATCAATTTATAAATTAATCTCAATGGTTAAGATCATGAGTCTAGCTTCAACTGACTCATGATCCTAACCATTGAAATTACTATAATATTCACAAAACCCATCTGATATAAATTAACCGTTAAAATATCGTTCACAGTTAGAAAGTTCACAGTATTTGGACAAGTATTTCCGAAATTTCTATTGTTTAGGACATTTTTCTTCTAATCATTCACAGTTGAACGTGATACTTCTCTTTCACGGTACCTATTAATATTCTCATATTTTTCCTCCTGAAGCTTTTTCCATTGTCATTTCTATCTCTTCCACGTCTTTCTGCTGTCGGATCTAATGCTCCTCTTCACTTGCTTTCTGGCTTCTGTGCATCCAGCTTGTGCCTTGACTTTCTCTGTTCTTGTTCTTCCTTTCTTGAATCTTGTCCAGGATTTCTATATAAATCCATTCCTTATGACGATGCTTCTTGCCGCCCAGCACATCCTAACACGTTGAGGTTAATGTTTATTTGATCCTTTTCCAGTTGTCCCACATCGTCGTTTCTTCTTCTTCCAGCTGGTCTTGTAAGGTTGGAACCTGTTGTTGAGAGTTATCCTGAATTCGTTGGGATTGTTATTATCTCGAAGGAAGGCTGTAATAAACCTTTGTAATGCTGTTTGTCCAGTTGTCCAGTGCTTCTTTAGCTTCAATTTCATCTTGATAACCACCAGGTGGTGATCTGAAGCTATGTCAGCTCCTCTCCTGATTCTCACGTCTTTCATTGTCCTCCCGAATTTGTTATCATTACAAGTATGATCTATCTGGTTCTCCGTATTGTTATCCAGTGAGATCCATATAGCTTTGTGTATGTGTTTGTGTTAAAATATTGTGCCATCTATAACAAATTTGTTGAATGTACATAAATTTGCAAAGTATCATTCGAAAATCTTTATAACTCAATGTTTACTACTAAGATAATATATTTCCATAATTTTCTAATTTTTTTTCTATCAAGATTAACATTCATATTTTAATCTATTTTATTTAAAATGATTCATACTACTAAAATCAACATATTTAACTATTGACAAAATTTATATTTTTGCTAAATTAATAACATTCATGTATAGTGTTCAATCATCATTTATTTATTTAAACATATAAACGTAGGTACAATCAGGCACCAAACAGATATACGCCACATAAATCATTCCATTTGTGTGAGGGCTGGGATACCACCCGGATGCCCAAACCGAAGCAGATGGTTTTCTTAGGGGACCACACCCTAAAGGTCTGATTCACAAGGCAGTGGAACAACCTTAGTAGATGCAGTGCCATTGTAGCTTGTGACGATTAGTTCATATGCCATTTATTCCTCCAGGATACTGAAGCCCATATACACCATTGGTTTAGAATCAGGGTTTTCCAACTCCCCTAGGTGGACTCTCCGTGTCCAACAAACCAGTTAAAGGGAAGGACATTCGCTTTTCGTCCTCTCAATTTCGTAAACAACACCACCGCAGTGGCGAAAAGTCAGTGAGTAGGACCTCTGTGACAGTGGTTGTATGCACGTGGTCATGTGAGAGCATTCGGAGAGGGAGAGCTGACACTCCCCACTCTCGACCGTACCGGATCATTTTTTTTATTAAAACTAATAAATTATTTTAATTGAACAATTACACATTACGTAATCATTTCTTTTATTTATTTAGTTAACGACAAAATTTATGACTTGAACAAAGTTGAAATTTTATTCACAATTTCATTATCTCATTCTTATTGAAATATTCATTCTTCAATGATTATCATAATAAAATAATAAAAAGACAATACAATCACAACACTTAAACAATGATTTATATTCCTGGATTAATTGCAATCATTGTATTCTATCTATTAATATTATTTGTTGGATTATGGGCTGCACGTGAAGGAAAAACTAATGATTCTTCTGGAACTGATACAGAAGAAGTAATGTTAGCTGGTAGAAATATTGGTTTATTAGTTGGTATATTTACAATGACAGGTAAGTTGATAAATTATTTAAATGTATTCATTTATATAAAGATATGACGTAGAACTGACCGTAGAGATTAAACTACAAATTGTTCAGTTCCATAGAGAGCATAAAATTTTTCGATGCATTTTTCATAATTAAATGCTTTACATTTGCAACTAGTTAAGCATGACCATTATCATATCCCATCAGTGTTATATATTGTACTGATGAGATGAGTGAACTTCATCAATCATGGTTTCATAAAAGAACCTTTAGAAGTTCTTTGTCAAAGTCGGTCAGTAGTGGATAGATTTATATCAATAGTAAAATGGGACGTTCGTTCAATTTTATATAATCTAGAAAATCGTTTATACCTCAGTCTTTTTTCTCTACTTTATAAGCCAATGGCCAAGTATCCTGAATTTTAGGCCTGTAAACTTATGCGTAAGGGATCTGACCTCTGTTATACTAAAATGAAATACAATCAAATAGTAAGACTACCGTTTTTAAGCAAAGATGGATAGTGGCTAGCAATGGAATCCAGGTCGCACGTTTCGTCCTATTTGTGACTCGTCATCTGGATGTACCTGAATCCCACAGTTGATGCTCTCCTCGAGACTCGAACCCAGTACCATTCGCTTCAAACGCCATCGCGTCATACACTTAGCTACTGATTCCTCATAGCCAACAGCTTGTGCAATAGAGTCCCGAAGTGAACATCAATTCTGGGATGCAGGTATATCCGGCTGACGAAACGAGGAGGAAACGTGAATCCTCGATTCCAGTGCTAGCCACTATCCATCTTTGCTATAAAAGCTTGCGAATTAAAGCTATGTCGAGGCAATCGGCACAGGATGCACATATGCTAACATGAGATTGATCAATTTCAGTTCTAAATAACAATAGGAAGATACGAGTAAAATAATACTAAGTGAAGTAAGATTACCCTTTAGAAATAAACATTATAAATTAGCATTAACATATAAACTCGCACGTTATATTATCATTTTAACAAAAAAATATGATACCTAAATGCTAATCAGATAATGAAAGTTATTTATTTTATTTTATTTATTCATTCAAGTAACGTAATACGGCATGAACTCAAAGGTGCAAAGATATTTTTTTTAAATCTGACTTTATTTGTATTCGATTCAAGAAGGTACTTAGATACCTAAGGTAGAAAATTAGACATAATCAGTTGTCAGATGGTATGTATGTTAAATGACAAATTATATGTATTTGAAATAAGATCATTAAATCATTCATACCTGGTGAACATTTGTCGAAACATTAGAAGAAAAATTCAATTGTGAATCTCTTGATATTTAGAATATAATCAATTGGATTTATATCAGAAGGGTTTTTGTGGATACTATATTAATTTCAATGGTTGAGATCATGAATCAATCGAAGCTAGACCACCGCGGAAAAACTGGAAGCACTAGACGGCCGTTTCATCTTAGTATAGAACTCCTCAGCAGTGCGCATCCACAATCTCGTCTCAAGAGATTCGAACTCAGAATCTATCAGCCTTGCGCACGAACGCTTTACCTCTAGACCACTGAGCTGGCCGGCATCAAACGATGTTAATGTCCAAATTCAATGAACATTGATCGTATGTCGATTCCCGAGCTACTAAATTCTAACTGCCGATCACTAATCAACAAAGTGGACTATCTGCAATTCCTGCTTAGTCAAAATACGTATCGTAATTGTGGTGTCATCACAATTCAAGAATCTTGGTTGAATGATTTACAGGATGACTGCCTTGTATCACTACATGATTTCAAAATTTATCGTCAGGATCGATCGAACAATAAAAAGAGGTGTGGTGGCGGTGTAGCTACGTTTGTAAACATAAACTGGTGTCGATCTTCGTTTGTGTGTTTTAAGTTTTCAAATGACTTTATCGACTGTCTAACTCTAAGATGTCGTCCAAAACATCTGAATAAATACAAATATGTTTATGTTACCAATATCTACGTCACTCCAGATTGCACATCATCTGCACTATCTGTTTTTGCTGATGAATTCACTGAGTTCGCTGTTACTGCCTTCAGTGATTCACTTTCAGTTGTATGTGGTGATTTCAATTCATGTGACTGTAGCTTCCTTACGTCACTAGGTCACCAAAATGTAGTGGATTTTCCTACCCGTTTGGATGCTCATCTAGACTTCGTCTTCATTAATGATGTGGGTATATATGCGACTCGTAAACGTGCTCCATTGTCTAGCTCAGATCACTGTATAATTCGTGTTCTACCTAAAGTATATGGAAAGCATGGGAAGAGTACACTCTTACATCAAACCAAGAAAGTCAAATATAGGAATTACTCAGAAGAAAATATCCGAAATCTGAAAAACATGTTTCATACGACTAACTGGGAATTATTTACAGATGACTCACTCGAAAACACTACTGATGTTATCACTTGTTACCTTAAATTCTGTTTTGATATTTGTTGTCCCACTGAAACCATTTTTGTAAGTTTTGATCGACTTACATCTTCACAACTAAAACGACTACGGAGGATGAAAGAAAGAATGTACAAGGAGAAGAACTCAAATGAAGTTCGTAAGCTAAATGGTCTGATAAACCTAGAGATTAGACGTCTCAACTGTATGTTTACTCAAAAACTCTTATCTTGCAAAAACTCTCCAAGTATGTGGAAATTCTTTAAAGAACTTACAGGTGACAGAAAGTTTAGAAGCGATAACCAGCTGAATGTTTGTGACTTAAATAAGTCTTTTGTACGTCAGTCATCTGATGTGATGCTCCCTCTATCCACGGGTTTAAAAAATAGCTGTGTTCCTACTTTCACTGAAACTGATGTACGAGGATGTCTCCAGTCGCTTAATTCATCTCGATGTTTGGGACCTGATGGTATCCCAAACATCCTTTTTAAAAAATGTGCTGACGTTCTGTGTCATCCGTTCACAACTATATTTAACAGATCTTTCTCATCTAATCTCATACCGAAAATGTGGAGAAAGATGAAGATAATTCCTGTACCCAAGAAAGCATTTGGTGATAAGAATGTAAAATTTAGACCTATTGCAATAACTTCACCTTTCCTCAAAACCATGGAAAAATTATTAATACTTCCACTTCAGCCTGCGATAAAAGAGCATACTGACCCATACCAGTTTGCATACAGGCGCAAAAGAAGCACTTTAGATGCTGTTGCAGTTCTGCATCACAACATAGTGTTCAACTTAGAAAAGGGTAAGAAGTATGTTCGATGTGCTTTTCTGGACTATACTTCAGCTTTTGACTCTATACCAAGACAACGTTTACTTAACAAGTTAATCAGCGTCAACACTGACAGCTGGATAACCAACTGGCTATGTTCCTACCTCTCTGGAAGGGAACAGTACACTGTGTTTGGAGGAAAGAGTTCAGATTCTCTACTGTCTCAGGAAGGTGTACCACAAGGAGCTGTTCTTTCACCTCTTCTATTCTCTTTTTTTCTGCATGACCTGCCATCTTCCACAGAAAACACTTTTGTGAAGTACGCGGATGATCTCACTGTATGTATGCCTATATCTTCCTCTTTACATCCCATAGAAATGAATGAGTTTTTGTCTCGTATTGATTGTTGGTCTGTTGGTAATGGTCTCATACTTAATCCATCTAAATGTCAAGCTGTTAACTTTAGCATGAGACATGAACGGAATATAAACACTATTTTGAGATCCCATAGTGCTTGTACCATCGGAGACTCCTTGATAAACTCAGTGTCGAAGGTCAATTATCTTGGTGTCACCTTTTCCTCTGATCTGTCTTGGTCTTCCCACGTTTTATCGTTATCAAAGAAGGTTTTCCGTCTGACCTACTACATAAAGAGATTGCATGCTCTTGGAATTACTCGTCATTTACTCTTACAATTTGTCAATTCTTGCATATTACCTATTATTCTTTACTGTTCTCCATTATTCTTTCCCGGGCTTTTGAGAAAAGACTTTGCTGTATTGCGAAGAGTGCTGAAGGCAGTTAGCAAGACGTGTGGTGAATCTTTCGAGGTCATAATTAATATGGTTGTGGATAGACATTTAAAATCATGCAAACTCCTGGCAGGTGTTATTTTATCAGATACTAGCCATCCCCTTCACTCTTATCTTTCTCCTTGTATATCTTCTGGTAGAACGAGACGTAATTACATTAAAATCCTTGCACGCAAGGAAAAGTATAAAAGTTCTATAATACCTTACCTAGCAAATATACTCTGTGACGAACAGGTTGTTAGAATTAACCTAGTCAATAACTTACATTCTTAACATGTCTTTAATTTTAAAAGTTTGTAGTTTTTTTTGGGTTTTTTTATATTTCTTTTTGTATTTGCTACTGCCTTTTTGTTCGTTGTTCAGTAAGTAACTTGTTGAAATACCCTGTGCTGAGAATTCTATATTGTACCAAAATATAATATTGAATAAAGCCATTAATAATAATAATAATAACAATAATAATAATAATAATAAATAATAATAAATAAATTGCGTCACCGTCCACTATTGTCATTAGCGTGTTACTATCTTACAACAAACCCGATGCTTCCAAGTTTTCCATGGTGATCTAGCTTCAATTAACTCATGAATTCAACTACTAAATTACTATAATATAAAAAAACCCTATCACAAAATATGTTTATTTTGTTGAATATTTGATAAAATCAACTTAGTACAATCGCAATTTTCGTACTTTATGCTCAGATATTTACAGACCTATAAAAGTGAACAACTCAACAAATAATATGAAAGAAAGTGAATCAAATATCCTTCCCTATATCTGATTGGTTTTCAATTAGATTCTATTCTATTATTTAAGAAAAATTATGTTGCCATTCGAAGAGACTAACATTTATTGATTACCAATTTCTTATCAAAGTAAGTAAGAGATTAAAACGTAAATGAAGCAGAGAAAAAGGAGAAGGATTAGAGAAGTTGGTTTGTCTCAATAATAAACTAAAATAAAAGATTAAAATAGATTAAAGTATTACTAAGTATATGTTCTGTGTAAACAATTTATTCAGTGTCTGTGTCTTTACTTGAGTTTCACAACACATGTTACTTCGTATTTGGTTATTTTTAGGAAATCTATGTCAAATAACTGCACATGATACTAGATACAAACCGTTTGGAAACTCATGATGAATCATATGACCACTTATTGAAACTCCTCAAATTTTCATCCCCTCTCTAAAGCAAGATTTAGTGTGATATCGTTATGAATGTTACACAAATTGTCACTACCGTTGATAAGTTAGCTAGGATTATTAAAAAAAACCTTATCATTTGAACTTGATATAGAGTTTTCCGTTCGTTGACTTGTATCCTACTATTATTTTACTACTTACAGTTATTGTTGTTTTTACTACTGTTCACACTAATGAGTTCCCATATGTAAATATTTTACCTAAGTATTGTGATATTTTTAAAATCAGTCATGATTATACGTCTATATGATTATGGAATTATTTTAGCTACATGGGTAGGTGGCGGCTACATAAATGGAACGGCTGAGAACACTTATAATCCAACTCAAGGTCTTGTTTGGTGTCAAGCTCCAGTTGGATATGCGCTAAGTTTAGTAGTGGGTAAGTGAATTCGTATAAAACAATTAAAACCACTGTTCTTAATAGACAGTTTGAAAGTCCTTACTTTATTCTCCTTGGCTTAGAACTGTTTAGTTGAACTTTTAAGAATATTCTAAGAAACTTATCAGTTGAAGTTGAATGTCATCAATCAAAATACTCGACTCCAGAATATTGTTTTAAAGTTCTGTTTTTGCTAGGCACCAAAAATCCATGTCGCTTGTGAACTCGTTCGGTGCTTGAATGTACGAAACAAGTCGATAAACTTAATGCGTCAAACTTTCCTTCTCACATTGAATCATGAACGTTTGATATGAAAAGGTATACTAGATAGTTGGAGTATATATTGTTCAGTTAATATTGCTCATGCATAAAATATGCAATCTGCAATCACTATAGGATTCATTTTGTATTAACAAGGTTTTCTGTGAGGCTATTCGATGTACGAAATGATAGTTCTAGCAATATTCTCTTATGAGAAGGGGTTTTGTGGAGATTTTGGAAATTTCACTAGTTGAAATCATGAGTCAATTGAAGCTAGACCACCATGGAAAACCTGGAAGAACTGGACCACCATTTTGTTCTATTGCGGGACTCCTCAGCAGTGCGCACCGAAGATCCCGCCCATGGGATTCGAGCCCAGGGCCTTCAGCCTTGCACGCGAGTGCTTAACCGTTGGACCACTGAGCCGGCATCGAACGATGTTAATGTTTAGCTTCATCCAATCCACGAAAATCAAGCGAGTAAGCAAGTGAGCGTGCATGTCGAATGAGCGAGCGAGTGTGAACAGGATTAAGATGCACATACCATAAATACATAGTGAAATGAATGAATCATCGAATCAATTGAGCGATTAACAGTTCGGCTGACAGAATGAATGAATTTATGCGTAGGCAGAAATCAATGCTCAAGCATGCATATTCATACAAGTGTAACAATGATAAAGGTACAATAGTATAGATACGTTGTCATTTTACGAGTGTCTCTGTCCGTTAAATAAGTTAACAAAAGGGCTTAAATGTAAACAAACTCAATTGTGCGTGAGCTGTTATAGTATGTTTTCTTACAAGCATGTCAACTTCCACAGCAAAGTGGTCATTATAGGCAACTTGCTTAAAACCTTTAGGATGCTAGTGATTATGAAAATATACATTCGATAGGTAAGTTGTGCTGAAAATAACTCGTCTAGTTCAAATGATGCAAATAAAAGTTTGTAATATTAATGTGTTAGATGGTTCTAGTTTATAGTTCGTACTTTAAACACCATATACATTGTTAATAATACTCTGATCTTTGTCAATTAGGTGGTTTATTCTTCGCTAATCGAATGCGTACATGGGTTATGTTACAATGCTTGATCCATTTCAAAATAAATATGGTGAGCGCATGTGCGGTCTGCTTTTTATTCCAGCATTACTTGGTGAAGTATTCTGGACAGCAGCTATTCTATCTGCACTCGGTAAGTAATCATGAGACCAGTGGCAGTCATTAATCAACCTGTTCATTATTACCGATAGGTCTGTTTTTCTTCTAGTCTTATCGAACTCCTTAGGGTAGTAAAAGCGAAGATGAATGATTTCAGTAACTACATTATATAGTTATCGGTGCTAATTTGAAACTCAACGAAACTAATTATCCCCATTCTATTGCTATAAACATCTGACCATTAAACCAGTAAACAACATAATTTATTAGAAGAATCAATTGAAATTACAAATTCCTTATATTTGAAAATGATCACTCCTAACCAGGGATCATTGGATAGTTGGTTTATTTTCATTGCAAATTTTGATCTTTAGATCAAACTAATCGTCGAAACAACCATTCAAATAAACAAAATATTTTCATATTTAAATATAAACGTTATACACATCAATATACATTGAGTATGATTTTTATTTTAACTGTAGGAGCTACATTAGGTGTGATAGTGGATTTAGATCAGAAAACTTCAATCATTCTATCAGCATGTATTGCGTTGGTTTATACATTATTTGGTGGATTATATTCCGTTGCATATACAGATGTTGTACAGTTATTCTGTATATTCCTTGGCTTGGTAAGTTCTAGTCTGTTATTTGTCTTACTTTGCATGAAATATTTTAGGTTATTGGTTAAGTAATTTGTAATTTACACAAACCTAATAGACAAATTTTAAATAGGTATTGATTGAGATCATGAACCAATTGATGTTAGACCACCATGGAAAACCTGGAAGAACTGGACCACCATTTTGTTCTATTGCGGGACTCCTCAGCAGTGCGCACCGAAGATCCCGCCCATGGGATTCGAGCCCAGGGCCTTCAGCCTTGCACGCGAGCGCTTAACCAATAGACCACTGAGCCGGTATCCAACGGTGTTAATGTCTAACCTCAACCAATCCATGTGCTCACACGTGACTAGCTCCGTGAGGGAATTCTCGGAGTTCTGGTGAGAAGCTGTTACCAGTGGAGCTAATCCGTGTTGGGTGTAGACAGGTATCTACCTCAGTAAAATGGATTGGTTGAGGTTAGACATTAAAAACTGTTGGATGCCGGCCGGCTCAGTGGTCTAGTAGGTTAAGCGTTCGCGCGCGAGGCTGAAGGCCCTTGGCTCGAATCCCATGAGTGGGATCGTGGGTGCGTACTGCTGAGGAGCCCCACGATAGAACGAAGCAGTGGTCCAGTTCTTCCAGGTTTTCAATGGTGGTCTAACATTAATTGGTTCATGATCTCAATCAATAACTTATAATCTCCACAACTCTATATTGATAAATAGGTACTGCTTTTTTCTGAATATAAAGAAAACAGGTTAGCTAAATGAAGTTGCTGAATATATTCAACAACTTGGGAAAATTGTCTTCATTCTAAAAGCAAGTTACTTTTAAGCTAGGGGTTTTAGAATAATGAAACAATTAGTAAAATATGCCTGATAAAGATTAAACATGGACTACAGAATATACAGCTTCGCTTGTATGGTAATAATCTTTTTAAGAAATTTGTACACTCATTTATATCTATGTCTATTTATCTAGAACAAACTTATTCGAGCTTCAGTATAGCAATAAGCTTTTCATGTGAATATATTTTGTGGCAACTATTCTCCTATCCTTGATTTACAGTAAAACCTCAGCTATTATCAATCTTCCATTATCACTAACAACAGTGTGCCATTTTTCAAAACTAAATAAACAAATAATAATAGTTTTTCTCTATTCACTCGCTTCAAGATTGATTCTCTAGTTTTGATTGAGAAATCAGAAACACTGGAGTTCAACTATGTTAAGATTTAGACGTGTATCACTGATGATATTAAACGATTGTCATGCTATGTTGTAAACTAATTTATATTGGGAATGTAAATCATTGGATTTAGGAAACTAAAATACTAGTCGAAACAATATCAATTCCTTTACTGGATCACATAAGTGGTTTAGTGTGTACAGCGATTTAGAGAACATTTTTGAACCTGTATTTGTTCATCCAACTCACACCCAAAAAAGAGATCGATTTAACCTCAAGTTCTTATATGACTATTAACTTCTTTTCAAATAAGAAACCTTGGGTCTGTAGCGTGGCGTCGAGTTGTGATTAACTATGAACACCGCTACCAAAAAACACGTGCCAAGCGAATCAGAAGGCGAGGGTTGGACGTAACCAAATAAATCCATAAAATCCCCGAGAAGCCAAATATCAGAAGGCAGTTAATGGACCAAGTCGAGATATATTTGCTGGCGATCTCGTGGCATCGAAAGGATACCGAGATCGTGCCAGGATACAACCTTGGTTACAGAAGGTAACCGAATTCGCGCGAAGTTACAATCGAAGTGTGTGTAAAAGAATGGAAGCAAAATATAGCTGTCATTAGCACAGTCAAACAAAAGCACGTTAAAACAAACACTGGTACAGTTGGTTATAATAATAATTGTTTTATTAAACCAGTCGTGTTCTCGTGATAAATGTGAGTCACTACAGGAGCCCCCCGCTAGAAAGGGTTTACACTTTCGATAAATAGCGGTTTGAATCGTGGGACTGATCGGCTGACGAGCGATTGTAGGACGGAAGAATTGGCGAACAGGAAAGCGATCGTTGATCGTCGAGTTGCCAACGAAGGTCGTTTTCGGAGAACGGTACCAGGAGCGATGTGCTGTATTTGTTGCTTGAGTTGGCATGCTACACGAGAGTGGTTTGTATCCAGAATCTGAAGAGGGCGTTCGTAGGGTATGCGGACCAGAAACGCTGCAGACGAAGGACGAAACCACGTTGAGCCGATGAACCAGAAGCGACCATAACGACCAAGTTCGAGACCAAGCGTATGCCAAGCATTCGAAACCAATATATCGACTGAGTACGTTGACAAGAGCGTGGGTGATCAGGCCAGCTTTCGCCAAAGTTGACTGAAGTCGACGGAACCAAACGGAGATGGTCGAAGGCGTGGGCTCAGGAAACAAAAAGAAAATCAAAAAAAAGAAGAGTGTAGCATGCGTGTAGTATAGGAATAATCCTACACCGTATCGGTTGTTAACTGTGCGGCTAGTCGCGGAAGCGTACGGGTAACCGTACTCGGCGACCGGAACGTGAGACGGTAGTCTCGTTCGCGTCGCGTGAGCCTGCAATCTCATCCGAAGTCAAGGGCGGCGTGGTCTGCTGATCTGGACGTGAGACTGTCGTCTCGTCCGTAGACGGTGCAGATGACGCGTGCTGTTGACTGGGACGTGAGAATGAGGTCTCAGATGTATCTAGCGTGGGACCTGAAGATGGTTTGAGGATCCCGCTAGTAGGTTTGCTAGGTCTAGCATTGAATCTCAGGTTATCAGATAGGGCACTGTCATCGACGTGTGCTGGTTTGAGACGATCAATGCTGACGATCTCGACGCGGCCATATCGATCAACCTTGAAGGTCTTTTCGTGACGAGCGATCACGTGAAAAGGGCCTTCGTAAGGTTGTTGCCAAGTTTGCGTACCGAATCTACTCGTATGAAAACATGTGAACAGGTAGATAACTCTCGAGGGAGAGCGACCTGTCGATGTTGTATTCGAGTTGACACCGGAGACAGCGTTCGCATAAATGCAGACAGTCGATGGACGTAGTCTGATTTACCGAAATTAGGTCTGCTCCGTGGTGTGAAGAATTCTCCGGGCAGACGCAATGTCGTGCCGAATACCAGTTCAGCGGCGGAACATTGTATATCTGCCTTCAAGCTCGTTGTGATCCCTAAAAGAACGAGCGGTAAGGTTTCGTGCCAGTTGCCGTTTTCGTGTGCTCGTATAGCACTTTTAAGTTGGCAGTGAAACCGTTTACTTAACCATTTGGTGCTGGGTGGTAGACAGATATGCTTATGCGTATGCATTCCGTACCAAGCAGCCGGGTCAGCGAGGAGAATAGTTAATAGGGGAAACTTTCTCGAATAAAGCGTGGAATTCATCGTCACGCGAATAAAAAGTAACAAGGATTCGGTACACGTACATGTGAGTCTATTATATTAATACTATTCTTATCGTTATCCGTCATGTCGAGTATATTAAATATTAAAAAATATGAAAATATACGACAGACGTGGATAGATAAATCATAGACTCACCGAATTGGCTTCTTTGGAAGATTTGACCAGAAGTTGAGGCGTGTTCCAAACTTTGGGATCACCAATTGTAGCGTGGCGTCGAGTTGAGATTAACTATGAACACCGCTACCAAGAAACACGTGCCAAGGAATCAGAAGGCGAGGGTTGGACGTAACCAAATAATCCATAAAATCCCCGAGAAGCCAAATATCAGAAGGCAGTTAATGGACCAAGTCGAGGTATATTTGCTGGCGATCTCGTGGCATCGAAAGGATACCGAGATCGTGCCAGGATACAACCTTGGTTACAGAAGGTAACCGAATTCGCGCGAAGTTACAATCGAAGTGTGTGTAAAAGAATGGAAGCAAAATATAGCTGTCATTAGCACAGTCAAACAAAAGCACGTTAAAACAAACACTGGTACAGTTGGTTATAATAATAATTGTTTCTATTAAACCAGTCGTGTTCTCGTGATAAATGTGAGTCACTACAGGTCGATATAGCTGATTTCTTCATGCTTTCTTTTCATCAGTGAAGTTGAAGTTGTAAAACGATTAGTTTCTTTCATAATTCTCGATGATGTAATAAGAAGATGTGATGTGATGTGATGAATTAAAACTATACAATGAACAATCTGATCAAACATACTTGTCAAGGTATTCATATTTGAAAACTAATAGAAGTCCTTTAAACTTAAGTTTATTCAACATGAAGTGATAATTAGAAATAAAGCATAGAAAAATGGTGTAATATGGGAAAGATAGGAATTTTTGTTTTGCTATCGAGAAGGACAGCATTTCACTCTTTGCGTTTATCGGAGAATTTAAAGCTAACTGATCATGAAACCATTTAGGTACATAATCCATAACTGCTCCCTATTTATGTATTGACACATTCATGTGGATCGGTCTTAGTAGAATCGTGGGCAATCGTGACAGTCAATTTCGTAGTCTTTATATGTTTTTCAGTTTATTGTTTTTAGTCTCTGTTTCAAAATCATGCCATTTGACTTTACTTTATAAGGTAGCAGGGTATGAAATCCTTTTCGAAACAAAATTAAGACGGGATTTAGATACCAAATAACTATTACACCCATTTATAAATTTTAAATATCAATTTAATATTAATGTTATAGTCATTAGTCTCGTTACCAAGGTGGGATTCCAGTAGACTAACTTGCCGAAAATATTCACCTACAAACGTGAACAACATTTTTGACAAGTTGATAATGGTGCTCTGAATAGTTTTTTAGTCTATCTTAGCTCATGTTTATGCATCACATGTTGGAAGTAGGACAGGTGATCTCATTCACAAGGTAATGTTGTAAAAGAGGTACGTTGATGATATCCTCACCATTTGTGATAAGGAGTTCAGTGTTGCTATATTAATAGATAGACTCAATTACGTGCAACATGATATCGTACTAACTTTTGAGGAGTAAAGCAACATTCAGACGTCTTTCTTACACATACGTTTGAGTCGAAACGTTGATGGACCTGTATTTCGATCACTCTTAAGAAAGCCCATCTGGATATAAAACTGATGACTGTAACGTTATTCTTGAAAACAGAACTCACGATTGTAACATGTTGTAGGATTAATCTTAAAACAGCTTTCACGTTTACAAAACCAATTTGTTCTAACCTTGAATATACTCTAGTAATCTTTAATACTGGAGTGATATGATACCTTTCTATTCTTTGCATATGGCATTATTTATTCTAATTATCATTGGATTTATCGTTTAAAAGACCTTTATTGATTTCTGTATATGAACGTCTTGACAATTGTGTGTGTCGTCAGATTGTTCGAAATAAATAACGCGAATTCGTTACATTTTTCAGATCAACATTATGGAAAATCCAAATTTTGTTTACTGGGTGATAACCCACTTTTTTCTATCAGGTAATAGTATTTATTCAACTTCTGCAAACAAAGTAAACTGTCTGATTTTGAGCCATTCAACCAAGGTGATGATTGAACGCTTTAAAATGAAGTCAAATATTTATCCTTTCATTTAATCTCGTAAGATTTACAAAGTGCTTAACTGTCCTCAGTGTCTTTTCTGGATTTAATGTCCTACATGATTAACAGTTAGGTGATGGCTATTGGGTATCGGTCGTACTTAAAAAACTACTAAAAACCAGGAACCATCATACAAGTGTTTGGTTTTGGTTTTGGATTAATCAGCTGTATGCACCAAAATATTGAAACTGTGATCGCTATTACTTTTACTGATAGAACTTATCCATAAGGACTAATGTCTTAGCTTCAAATGCTACTTATTTCCAACTTCAATCAGTTCAGAATAAAGCGTGACCATCGTTAAAGCTACTACTGACGAGTATGTCAGTCATTACTCGTCTAGACTCTACCGGTCAATACTTATCAATATAAATTCCATAAACCATCTCAAAGCATATCACTTGATCGTGTTATACATATTTTTATTTTCAGAGAAGATTTTGTGAGTGACTCGATTCTTGGTAAAACTGTAGATATGTACTCTATTGAGAAGTTCCATACTAGGACGAAGCTGCTGTTTGATGCTCCTTGGTTTTCATTGATAATCTGACTTGAACCCAAATCAAAATATTATTACTTATTTATTTATTTATTTAGACACATAAACAATGGTACAAGGAGGCACCAAATAGATATGTGTCACATAAATCATTCCCGTTGTGTGAGGACTGGGATACTGCCCGGGTGTCTAAACTGAGGCAGGTGGTTTACTTAGGGGGCCACACTCGGAGTTTTCGACCTAAAGGTCTGATCCACAAGGCAGTGGTCCATGCATCATTTATTCCTTCAGGATACTGGAGCCCATATGCACCATTGGTTTAGAATCAGGCTTTTCCAACTCCCCTAGGTGGACTCTCCGCGTCCACCAACCCGGTTAAAGGGACGGACATTCGCTTTTCGTCCTCTTAATTTCGTAAACAATGCCACCGCAGTGGCGAGAAGTCAGTGAGTAGGACTTCTGTGACAGTGGTTGTATGCACGTGGTCATGTGAGAGCGTTTGGCGAGGGGGAGCTGACTCTCTCCACTCTCGTCCGTACCAGTGCACTTGGAAGCAAACCATTATAAAATCACTCCACCTAAACTATAATTATTGAGTAACAACCATAAATCAGCAACAACATTATGTTGATATTTTCAATACCATTCAAATGTACTCACAATCGTAAAACAATTCATTTGTTTATCTCCACATTTTTACCTTTTTAATAATTTAAAATATGAAGAGTGTAAACTTTCTGGTTTCATTTTTTGAAAATCTTTTTTTTTATTATAATCTCAGTGGATTTCTATACCGTTCGCTATGGTTAATGAAGCAACAGTGCCAATTACACAAACATGGGATAAATGGAAAGGTAGTCTTGATCCAATGGATAGCTTCTTTTATGTGGACAACTTATTGATGTTAATTTTTGGTGGTATACCTTGGCAAGTTTATTTTCAGGTAATTTCTCTAGCATTTCTAGCTTGTAAAGTATTTACAGTTTGAATTTATCAACAACATGCTATATTACAACTTATATGTATAAACAAGTTACTGTTTGTTTGGTAATTTAAAGACCGTACATCATGGTTTAATTCGTTCGAAGTTATCTTTATGTTGCACTAAGGACAGGAATATTGATTATTTCATTCTTACAAATACAACTTGCTAACGATTTCCAAATAAGACGAAACTAAAGTTAAGGAGTTTCTGTACATTGTCTTTTAACGACTACTTAATACAAATAGAATTAAACGACATGAATGGTACAAAACTACGCTGTAATGGATTTTAAAGCTAGATTATGAACTGCTTTAGGTTAATGGTTTTAAGCAAACATCTATTATTCCAACCAAATGCAAATTTGTCCTCCTTAATATCTTCTTTATCAGCGTTTCTTTCGAATAAATGATCCAGAACTTCACGGTTTTTCGTTACCTTGTTATGCCAGAATGTATAAAACTGAAATTAATATAATAGGAAAATATAGTTCATGAAATTTTTATCACTTCATCAATTAATTCACTAGGTTTGCTTAAAGTACTTATAAGCAAGACAGAATAGAATTTCAACATGGAACAACTAATCTCTGTTGCAGTATTTTTTCGGTAAATATTTAACATGTATGGAAAAGCTTGATGAAATTGTAGCTTAAATTTATTTTCGAACTGTTTCCCATATTCACGGTTGTTGATGTTTAAGCAACTCACTGCTTTATAGTTTAAAAAATACTGAGTATAGCATTACAGCTAGAGTCATAGTAATACAATTAATACTAATGTTAGATAATTCAACTTTCCCTCACCGCAAATTAGTGTAAAAGATAAACCAATAAATAATTCACTTGGTGTTGTATTACCTGTATCTTCTCATTGTTATTTAGGACTGCAATTGATCAGTCTCTTGTTGGCATATGTGCATCCTGTGCGGATTGCCTCGATATAGCTTAATTCACAAACTTTTTAAGCAAAGATGGATAGTGGCTAGCAGTGGAATCCAGGACGCACGTTTCATCCCGGAGTGAACATCAAGTCTCAGATACAGGCACATCGAGTCCCAAATAGGACGAAACGCGCGTCCTCAGTTCCACTGCTAGCCACTATTTATCAATATAGAATGTCTAAAATAATTAGTTCCTTTCATAAATTTAAAAAGAACCAAGTTATATACTAGCACAGTGCATTTCTATCAATATGATCACACATATACTTGTTAAGAAAACTGTAGGTATGAAAACTTTACACATGTGTGCTGCCACACATGCATAGGGAGGAGCAGTCGAGATTCGTAAGTTAGGGTCCTTAAACATATGTCAAAATAGTTACAGAAACAAATAAAATCAAATGACCCAATAATAACAGATGATAAACACCCAATTTCTACTGCTAAACATATAGTTCGAACACGTTATAACACTGACCTTAACTCAACCTTTGTGGTTTGTGAAAAGTTAATAAAATCTTGAAAATTCAAAACCTATATAAGTATTCATAAACACTATCAGAAGGGGTTTTGTGGAGATTGTAGTAATTTCAGTGGTTGAGATCATGAGTCAATTAAAGCTAAACCATCATGGAAAATCTGGATGCACTGGACGGCCGTTTCGTCTTATTTTAGGACTCCTCAGTACTGCGCATCCACGATCCTGCCCTACGAGATTCGAACTCAGGACGTATCAGTCTCGAACGCGAGCGCTTAACCACTAGACCACTGAGCTGGCTGGCATCCAACGTTGTTATCACATAACTCTAGTAATCTTCGTCTGAATAATTAATCAATATCAATATTTCATTTATTGCTAAGTACTAAATGTGCAATATCACCGCAAATTATTTTGTGTTATTGTGTGGATAATAAATATTCACTGTATATTGAAAGCTCATAACTTATGATAGTTTTTTTTCTTATCAACAAAACCAGCGTGTACTATCTTCAAAAACTGCAAATCAGGCACGTATTTTAAGCTTTGTAGCTTCAGTCGGATGTTTCGCTATGGCAATTCCTTCAGTTTTAATTGGAGCTGTTGGAGCAAGTACAAGTATGTGAATATTTACTTAGTATATACTTAAATTCATATTACATTTACTCAGTAAAATTTCATATTTGCTCTTCATTGATTAACTATTTCATAATAAATCATATATATATTGAGCAATGGATACTCCTTTCACCTCAGTATGAGTATCGTCCAATAGCAGACACATTTAACTGAATCAAGCTGTCTTCAAGTTTCATAGCTTTTGTGATCCCTTTAGAAACCAATAATCAATCTTTAAGAATTGTTGTCATTGAATGACTGTATTTAGCCCAGATTCTTTAATGTAAGCTTATCTTGAAGACAAACTTTAATCAACATACTATTTTCATAGTTTTATAAAGGAACTGATATAGTGACAAAAGTTTTTTTCGTCATGGAGTTAATGACTTAGTATATTGTGTTCAATCTCTTCGGTGTTTATGCATACATGTGCATTGCTTAAAAGTCTTAAAATATGTCTCAATAACTGTCTAGTTCTATCTGATTGTCAGTTGTATTTCTGTGAATGAGAACTATATTTAAACTGTACATATCACTTCCAAAAAATACCTTAGTGAATAATAATTTTGGTAATAATAATGATAATAATAATACAATATGTTTTCATTAATTCAGAACGAGCTAGCTAAATGATAAAATAAATAAATAGTTACTTTACTTAATTATTATGAATATAAACTGATTTCAGAAATCATGAATCAAATGTTGGACAACCATTGAAAACCTGGAAACAGTGGACGGATCCCGCGAGCGGTAACGTAGATGCGCACTGCTGAGGAGCCCCTTAATAGGACGAAACGGCGGTCCAGTGCTTCCAGGTTTTCAATGCTGGTATAACATCAATCAGTTCATGATCTCAATCAAAAACTTAATAATCTTCACAACCCTATACTAATAATTTCAGAAAACTTTCTAAATTTAATTAAATTCACTATCGCTAATATAAGAAGAAACTAAAATTATACTGTGTAATTAAAAAGCAGTGACTTAATTAGATTAATCAATGAAGGAAATGAAAATTTACTGGAAATACACTGCTTATGCACTACAAATTCGGCTTCCTCATTAGTACTTTTATTTTGCTTTAAACAAAGTCTTCATTTATACTGAGTTGTTAATTGGATTCTCAAGGAAAAACTGTAGCGTTCATTTTTTTTTAAAGCGTTGAACAAAGAATTGGTATTAAGTTTTTTTAAAAATTCTTTCATTCATTAAATTATTTGAAATAGACCCTGCGAAATGGTCAATTATTATTCTTTTTGACTGAGATCATGAACTAATTGATGTTAGACTACCATTGAAAACCTGGGAGCACTGGATGGCCGTTTTGTCCTATCGTGGGACTCCTTATTAGTTCACATCCACGATTTCGCCCATGGGATTCGAATCCAGGGCCTTCAGTCCCACGCGCAAATACTAACCTCTGGACCACTGGACCGGCCGACATTCAACGATGTTAATGTCTAACTTCAACCAATCCACGAAATTACGCGACCATCTTCCAATGTCTTCAGTTAGTTACTACGTTACAACAGATCCGGTTGAACTCCACTAGAACTTCGAGAATTCTCTCACGAAGCTAGTCACTAGTGAGCACATAGTAATTATCAGTATGGGGTTATGGAGATTATTCAGCTAAATATTTTCGTAGAGATGCTATTTTGTTCAGAAAACATCGAGTTTTACTTGAGAGTACAATAATTTACAAAATGACTTGTTCATTTTGACGATAGAATCCTTTTAAACTGACTGATTGAATGAGTTAATATCAGAAAAGGGTTCTGTGGAGATTTTAGTAATTTCAATAGTTGAGTTCATGAGTCAATTAAAGCTAGACCACCATGGAAAACCTGGAAGCACGGGATGGCCGTTTCGTCCTAGTATGTGACTCTGCAGCAGTGCGCATCCACGATAACAGTGAATCATTTAAAACACTTTGTAAGGATGATGCGGATATTATTAACTTCATTACAAATGACTGACATAGAAGTATGAGATGCTTCACATAGTAATAAAAGTGAGTACATCTATACAATTTATAAATGTATGCGTTTATCTAATCAATTCAACTGAAGGTCATCAGGATGGCAGTAAATCAACATCATAAAATAATAACTCAGAAGCCGACCTCAATTAAATTGGTCTAATTATGCATAAGCTTATTCCTATGAAAATTTATTCTGATAAAGTAAATGAATTTAAAGTCATCATATTGTATATAGTTGATTATCATGACTACAAAATGATTTCATGTAAATAATAATCAAATGGTTAAATACGATATTTGTCGATATATTTTTTAGAGTTAAATGGTTCCTATTAATTCTTGTATGCTTACTTAATGAAGGGAACCATCAGTCGGCAAATACGACATACACGCTTTTTGGAACTGACTTGCTCACTATACAACACTGTGGTTGAAATTCGCCATGGTATGATACATTAGAAATACAAACATAAAAGTCTATCACACTCTATCCTAAGATCCCAAATGTTCCCAATCTTTGGTAATGATGAACATTATAGTGTGTCTTACCATTTGGGTTGAATTTTTCTCCTAATATTGTTCAGCGGGTAAACTTTCAAATTTAAATATCAGTTATATTTATTTGGTTGTAACATTAAGTTGAGTAATTGTATAATATTTAGTGTAAACAGCTGAATTCGCTTATCGACTGGCAATGAGATTTTATCATCATTATATTACGAAGACAATGATTACATCTATCTATTCATCAGCTGAAAACCTTTAAAGTAATCTCATTTTCTATTAAATTGAGAGGTCTGCTAGGCTAGTTGAATAAGACTATCCACACAAATATCGGGTTGTTCAACTTGACATAAAAATTACCTACTAAAAACGAACTATTTAAAATTTCTTCAAAATAATATGTAGTTCGAGACAGGAAGAACCCTGGAACCTAAATTTTATATTGCCTGGGACTTATGAGCAAGGCATATTGGAACTCTCGAGGAAACTGACCATTATGGATTCACTCAGGTCACGAGCGACCCATTATAGGATTAAGATATTCACATATCAATTATCAGTAATTAGTGACCAATATTATGTTTTCTAGTTAGAGACATTCACAAAGAAAACATCTGAATTCCATCCCTCCCACTAATTGCTTTAACACTAGTTAATATAGCTTCAGGAAAATGGAACGATAAATTTGTCAGTTTGATGTTTACAATATAAGGGTAATTCCTTGTAAATTAATATATTCTTGATAAAAATAAATTTCCTATAAGCCCGCTTATTCTCAAAATATAGCAGAAGTACCACAGTACATAGGAGATTGACTTTAAAAAGATTCAAGCTTTGCTTTACTCAATTCTGTATGAGCAACTGACTAGTGTTTTCTGATTACACATGACAATTATGGTTCTATGTCTTGTACAACTATTGTATGAACTTATTAAATCTGATTTGTCAATTTTCAAGTTGAGAATAGTTTCAGATTAAATACCGTTTTTTTGTTGTTCTTTTCCATCAACAGATTGGACAATGACAAATTATAATACAACTTCAGAATTACCGGGTACACCAGAAGAAATGAAATTAATTCTACCATTAGTATTACGTTATCTATGTCCGCCATGGATATCATTTGTTGGTTTGGGTGCAGTATCAGCTGCTGTCATGTCTTCGGCAGATTCATCAGTTCTATCCGCTGCATCAATGTTTGCTAGAAATGTTGTCAAAGCGATATTTTGGCAAAAAGCTAGTGAAAGACAAGTTTTATGGATAATGCGTGCAAGTATATTTGTTATTGGAGCATTTGCATGCTGGTTAGGTATTAGTATTCAATCAATTTATGGTTTATGGTATTTATGCTCAGACCTTGTCTATGTTATTTTGTTTCCACAACTGATTTGTGTTCTATATGTTAGATTTTCAAATACTTACGGTTCGTTATGCAGTTATTTGATTGGTTTATTTGTCCGATTAACTAGTGGAGAAAGTGTATTAAGATTGAGACCATTAATTGCTTATCCTTATTTTGTTGATGATCCAACTGACTTTTATCAACGATTCCCATGTAAAACATTTGCTATGCTAATCAGTTTTATAGTTAGTGTCTGTATTTCCTATATCACAGATATTTATTTTCGAGCTGATTCAAAACGTCTGAAATATGATTTATTTCATTGTTATAAAGAACGTCAATCCATGACAGGTTCAATACGTATTGGGAATCGTTTTAATCGACCATCAATTAGAACTACACGATTACCGCGTAAAGGTGAAAAATTAGAAGTTATTAATGATGATAATATACAAGAATTAGAAACAATGCAAATAGTAACAAGCGCCATAACTGTAACTACAACTACTGTATCTAATTCAAACAATCTAAACCCATATAAACCAGTGGAAATAGTTTCAATGAATAAATCAATACCAAAGAATATCAATGATAGTCTTGATTTAAAGTAATTCACTCACTATAATATTAGCAAGGAGTTTTCAAAAGAATTACCACCAAAACCATCAAAAGAACAAAATCATTTCTCTTTGCATACATTTAAACAAATAGCTTACAATAAAAGAAAATAATAATAATTCTATTTGTTTTGTTTTTTCTTTCAAATGTATTCCAATCTGTTTATTTAACATTTAATTTTAGCCTTTTTATTTTGATTGTTTAGTACCGTTGAAATTTTATTTATCTAAACATAATTGTTTGTTTGTAAACATTTTAATTATAAATAATAATAATAATACATGAATGATTTATTTATTTTGATCGTGAATTATCTTTCCAGTGATCAAATTTTAACGTTGTGATCATTAGAAATTATTTTTAAAAAAAACAAACAAAACAGAAAAACACCCCCAAATCAAATCAAAGTTGTGATCATCTTTAATTCAGATCATGATTATTCATTCTTTTTTTCTTTTCTTTTCTTTTCTTTTTTTTTATTTGTTTATTTTAATGATTATAATTAATAGTTGTGAATAGAAATGAATTATTTATAATATGGAATTGAATTTAGTTTTTATTCATTCATTCATTGTAATCATAACATTGTTGATTGTTTCATGAGAACACATGTTCAATGAATGAATTCATCAGGTAATTTATTTAATCATTATTACCGAGTGTTTATTTTATTTTCTTATTGTTTCACTAACCAATAAGGAAGCTTTGGTTGTGTTTATTTATTTATTTAGTTTGTTTTTTTTCTAAAAGAAAAGTAAGAAAACAAAAGAATCCTTCAAATAATCTATATTATTTATTTATTTCTTTATTGATTATTATTATTATCTGTCTTCTATTATCATTGGTTGTGAATTTTTATTGATTGATTGATTGATTATGATAGTTATTCTATTGTTTATTGTTTTGGTTCATTGTACTATTCATGACATTATTCAATGTTATTATTTGATCTATATAGATTTGCTTATGATTTACAATAATTCATATAGAAATGTTATAATACTATTTAAATCTTCATTGAATGTGTTTATTATGAAGTTAAATATAAATTAATCTTTATAATTTATGCAAACAATACAAAATATTCATAGATACTTATTTACCATTACTTTATATATGGAGAGAGAGAGAGAGAGGAAGAGAGACACAAAGATAAACACATTAGCAACTTATTCACTCATATGTAATCAATATTATTGTTTATTGAACAGACAATAAAGTCTTATGTATCCACAAAAAAAGTGGTTATGTTATTTGTGAACTATTGGTAAATTATGTTTGTATTTACAATATTCATAAACATGATTCTGGATATTACAAGAGATCTGTAAATTTAGAATAGTCACAGACAACTTAACATCTCGCATTGTTACCATGCTACATTAGAGCATTGAGATAGAATAATAGGAGGAATAGCAAAGAATTTAAAACCATAATGGTAATGAGAATTATAAAATAAAATGAATTGATAAAACAAATTGTTTAAAAAGAAGGAATGAATTCATATAGGAAAGGTATGAAATTTAATTCATATTTAAAAATTTCAAAGAAAATCAAAAATACATCTGTCTGTGTTATTTCAACCGATTCTAATTCAAGTCACCTGAACATTTTAATTACTGACCATATTTATCACACAGACTCTTTTATAAGGAGCCTCAAGATAAGGCTCCGTGTATCGATTTGGCCTACCCTAGCTTTCCTTAAGTTTTATTCTAAGCCACACAACACTGTGAAATAAAATAGGCAATATATAAGTCTACATAATACGTACTACATGTAGAAGCAGAGGTGATAGTGGCTAGCAAAGGAATTCAGAACGCGCGTTTCGTCCTATTTGAAACTCGTCAACTTCATATAATGCTTGTCACTTAAAGCTATATCGAGGTGATCCGCGTAGGATGCACATATGCCAATAAGAGACTGATCGATTATATACCTATACATCAATGGGGAGATTCAAGTGACCAATACAAAAATGAATTATACTATTTTTAATGTACGCGTTTTAAAATTCCCGTTTTCTTTATTCATGATTAAAGTGATTAATTTCTCACTTCAACAAATCCGCGATATTGAGGATTGGTTAAAGTTAGACATCAACACCGCTGGATGCCGGTAAGCTAAGTGGTCTAGAGGTTAAGCGCTCGCACACAAGACTGATAGGTCTTGGATTCGAATCTCACGGGGCAGGGTCGTGAATGCGCACTGCTGAGGAGTCCCATACCAGAACGAAACGACCGTCCAGTGCTTCCAAGTTTTCCATGGTGGTCTAGCTGCAATTGACTCATGAATTCAACTATAAAATTAGTACAATCTCCACAATATCCCTTTCTGGTTAATTTATATTATAAGGTCAGATTCATTACAATTTTTATCAGCTAACAACGAAATATGTATAACATATTTCCTTCTACTTATGACTCATCAACAGCAATTAACTTCAGTCTAATTTTAAGAACATATAAAAAAGGGAATATCTATATGTTCACAATAAAAATAATAGGTCATGAGAACGAGAAAATTAATGATTGTCAGGGCTCACTAGAACAGTGGATAACGACTTGACGATTGAAAATCAACTCTATGAGTTTAAATCTATTTGGTATTATCAACACTCATATGAATGTTTAACTAGTTGTTTGATATCTAGTTCACTTACATGATATCCAGTTAATTATTTCATTCTTACACCTTGAGTAATAACAGTACAAACAGTCGGTGATGTCGTGGTACTATTGTTTTATCAGTGGTATGATCTGTTTGTATGTGAGTATGCGTTTATTTGTGAAACTCATACCATGTATATATCTGAACAATAAAATTTTGTCTCACACTAAATGTAATATCATTCTATCACACTATCATTTGCGCATTTTGTTCTTTTTTAATAAACAAGAGATTGTTGTCGTTTATTTTACATATAATTCCGATTTCATTAATGAACTGATTTAATCAGCTGGTTTTTGAATGATCACCGTAGTTCTATTTTAGTCAACCACCATTACGTATCGGCTGCAATATGCGTACAAAAGAAGTACGTCCCATCGTTATCATTACCTTGACCTTTATTATTATTATTATTATTATTATTATTATTATTATTATTACTGCATTTCCCCCTTTACTTATGTCTCATATTCTCACTTTTTTAATTTGTAATTGATCACGACATCTAACAACCTGTTCGTCACAGAGTATATTTGCTAGGTAAGGTATTATAGAACTTTTATACTTTTCCTTGCGTGCAAGGATTTTAATGTAATTACGTCTCGTTCTACCAGAAGATATACAAGGAGAAAGATATGAGTGAAGGGAATGGTTAGCATCTGATAAAATAACACCTGCCAGGAGTTTGCATGACTTTAGATGTCTATCCACAACCATATTAATTATGACCTCGAAAGATTCACCACACGTCTTACTAACTGCCTTCAGCATTCTCCACAATACAGCAAAGTCTTTTCTCAAAAGCCCGAGAAAGAATAATGGAGAACAGTAAAGAATAATAGGTAATATGCAAGAATTGACAAATTGTAAGAGTAAATGATAAGTAATCCCAAGAGCATGCAACCTCTTTATGTAGTAATTCAGACGGAAAACCTTCTTCGATAACAATAAAACGTGAAAAGACCAAGAGAGATCAGATCTTCTTATGGTAATGTGTAGTGACTCACATTTATCACGAGAACACGACTGGTTTAATAAAAACAATTATTATTATAACCAACTGTACCAGTGTTTGTTTTAATGTGCTTTTGTTTAACTGTGCTAATTATAGCCATTTTGTGCTTCCATTACCTTCCATTATTGTTCCGCGGTTTTTGGTACTGTTCGCACGTACTCCTGTCTTCTGCTTCCACTTGTACCACTTCTTGGCACGATCTCGGTATTCGTTCAATACCACGAGATCGCCAACGAAATAAATCTGGTTACGTTCAATCCTCGCCTTCTGATTTATCTGGCACGTGTTTCTTGGTAGCGGTGTTCACAGTTAATCTCAACTCGACGCCACGCCACAATTGGTGATCCCAAAGTTTGGAACACGCCTCAACCCCGGGTCAAATCTTCCAAAGAAGCCAATTTGGTGAGTCTATTATTTATCTATCCACGTCTGTCGTATATTTTAATATTAATTTTTGATATATAATATACACGACATGACGGATAGCGATAAGAATACTATTAATGTTATAGACTCAGACGTACAGGCCATTCATTTTCGACCTGTATCATTTATCCCCCACGACCCTGAGGTCTGGTTTGCTGCATTAGAGTCTCAGTTGGAGACTCGTCGCATCACGAGCCAAAGGCAAAAATATGCCTACGCTCTCGAATCATTACCCGGGGACCATTTAGTAGCTGTTCGTGAGGTTGTCCTCAATTCTAACGTGCCTAATGTTTATGACCGCCTCAAAGAGGCAATTCTCCGACATTTCCTCCCATCGAGGGAGGAACGATTGAGGACCCTGTTAGCACGTCACCCCCTGGGTGATGCTAAACCAAGCCATCACCTCACGCGCCTGCAATCTCTTGCAGGACCAGCAGCATCTGACTCGGAGATAGTTAAGGAATTATGGCTCGAGTCATTACCAGCCCATATCCAACCTACTGTGACGGCACTGCTCGAGGGCTCACCGCTTAACCAGGTAGCCCTCATAGCAGACAAAATTTTAGCGAGGACTGGTAATAGAGACACCTATGTAGTTGCTTCGACGGCACGTCCTAAAGTAGACATGGACGCCGGTCATTCCGCAGCTCATGGTGACAGGGCCGGGTGTATTCACACACGTCTTAGTTTTCGAGACCGTTGTAACGTACCCCAACCCTACGTCCCCCGAGCTCGCTCAAGTTCTCGCAAACCCGTCACCACTCGCCCAAAAAGGGCATCTTCCAGGCCACGCCGAAAGGCGGCTACGGAAGCGAGTGACAGTTGGTGCTGGTTCCATAGGTCCTTCGGGTCTGGCGCCTGCCGTTGTCGAGCACCATGCTCATACAAGGCGTGAAACGCCAGCGCCGGCGAGTAAGAGCGGCCGTACTCGCCGGCCCTTCACTCCAGGTTGGTCGCCTATTCTATGTGCACGATTACCGCACGAACGCTAGGTTCCTAGTAGACACTGGGGCCCAAGTTTCTGTCGTACCACGAGGTAGCAGCAAGTCACAAGCTACAGTGCTTCGACTACGCGCTGCGAATGGCTC